TATTGGAACTTCGAGCCACGAGCCGCATTGCCTTCGCTTATGCTTGCGATGTGGTTTTACTGAACGTACATTATTGCTTGACAACTACATGATGGCCTTGGGGACATAATCATCTGGCATTCAGCTATCGGGACTGGAAATGGGTTCAGCAGTGGCGACGAGTAGAGGTCTACCCGACACTCGTACGTAAAGCACTGCTGGCGTCAGATCCTTCGTCCCATTTACCAACGTTACCGAATCCTTGGGTGAGCGCACACACGGGACGTTCACCAGGATTGCAAGCCTATCCGTTGACACGTAATAATGTGAGGGAAGATCGGTGTGCAAAAGTGACCGCCCGTGTTGCCGCAAAAGCAAGTCGTGGCCCACCGGAAGGGTCTCGACGTCCCGGGACGGCACGCCTCGTTGATGCTATTGGTAACGTTGACGCTGGAGTATGTCATTGGTTCATTCGGAGATTTTTTCTCAGAAGAAAAGCAATTTGGTACTTTGATGTAGCTGGCGTATGATCGTCCGCCATTTATCGAGTACAACGACCTTTAGTAATGCCAAACACATTGTTACTGTCATCGTCACTTTGCACTGGCAAACTTGGCAAACGTGTACGAAAAAACTTTACATCTTCATCTACCAAAAGAAACGAAAAACAGGTAACATTGTGTACATTGTGTACATTGCGTTCCCTCTGACCCCTACAAACCCCCAGGAAGCAACGACGCTGTGGGACTTTTTGATCTTCTTTACATCGACTACAGTGGAAGATCTACCACCGCATTTATCAGGTACATACATAGATACAAAGAGAACAATTCTCTGACTCATACATAGTCTGGTATTTATCCAGTTCCCCAGATTCTTGTCACAACGACTCGGACATGCGTGGGTAGCCTGCCACGTGTGAGTAGGCATACGTTACAGTCGCTTCCAGGAGATTCCAGCATACCAATCGATGGCCGTAAAGCAAAGCCGTAGATGTATGCCAAAACGCGCCACGGAGAAATTCCAAACTTTTGGTGATACAAGATGAAGCCAGAAGAGTCGTTACTCGCAAAATATCGGATGCGAATACGTGAAATGAGTCGTGAAGACGTCGATGGTCGTTAGATGGAGCGGGCAGGGTTCTTCAGTAGCCCTTTCCAGTCCCACCCATGATACGGTCCTTCGTAGACTTCTGCTTGGACTCCTTGGGTTTGTATACCGCATTGGATTCATTCGCAGCGATCTCAGCTTCGAGCTTCTGCTGAGCCTCGTGGAGTTTGCGTTGGCGACTAGCCTCCCACTGCTCAATGTCCGCCTGGGTGAGGGTGATTGTGGTGGGTGTGCGTCGGAGCATAGCGATGATGTTGGGTCGTGGATTGAGAACGTGAAAAGGTATGCGGATGCGCTCGAAGCAGCACAGAACAGGTCTGTATAGAAGGCTGTGTCTCAAGGAGAGGCTGACGGAAGTGATGATGTGTGTTTGTTGTTGATTTTATCCCGGTGTTAAGTGATGCGCCGTTGAGGTAGACTGCAGTTGAGGTGGGATGCAACAGTGTAATTAAAAGAATGACTACAGTTTGTGTATAGAAGCCCAAGAGAGTGTCGACCGAAGAATCGGGTTGCAGGTGGTGTAGATGAGTTGCGATGAAAGACGAGGATTTTGTTGACTTGGAGTTACAGTCACGCGCACGCGACGGGAAGAACGTGCTTTCAAAACAAAGACCAGCTCTGCTGAGACGGGATGACTGGAGTACAGTGAATGTGTCGCGGAACTGTCACTGCGCCCTTTGTCGGCGGAGTGAGAGCGGAGCACGTGGTGCGGAGGCCCAGCGGGCAAGATCCCTGTCTGCCAAGACATCGTGATCTTGAACTTTTGGAGTTTGGAGCGCCAGCGTCGAATGCAGCCATCCACACAGCATGGCCCAGCGACACATGTGCCCTTCAATGGGCGCTTTGAGGCGCTCATTAGTAGCAGATGTATCGACTCTGCCCAAATGCTCAGCGAGGGCACTCCACAGCACCGCGAAGAGACTGGAAGAGCAACCCAGTGATTCAGCATCTCCAGCCCACCGTACGCCTTGAAGACGCTCAATGGCCCTGTCAATTCAATGCTGATAGATATTCAGCACCAAACACCCGCAAAGCCCGGCAAGCGACGGCTCTCAAGCAGATTACCTCGCTCCAAAATCGCCGCATCCAGCCCGGCGCACTCGCACGAGGCTCCTTCCCCAGCGGCCAAACGGCACGACGAAGTCCGGGCTCCCCTTCTCCTCAAGCCAACAAGGACGGCTTCATCCCCGAAAACAAAGCCCCCGCCGATGCGCAGCCAGACGCGAACCCCCGCTTCGCCCGCAACACAGCGCGCCCGACGACGACCCGCGGCTCCACCCCTCCCCAGGGCCAGATGGTCCGCGCCCCCTCCACCCTGCGTATAACCCGCGAAAAGGTTGATGGCCCTGCTCGCGGGCCTGGTGGTCCACGAGGACCCAACCTCCGTGGGCCAAATCTACGTGGCCGAGAAGGCGGTAGACCAGGACCAGGTGGAAAAGGCCGCGCTGGTGCGGCAGGTAACAAGGGCAGCGGAGGAGGCCCTAAGAAGCGCGAGAGGAAAGCCGGCGGCGACGAAAGGATGGGCACCAAACTCGCCGACATCAGGCTTGGCGATACTGTCTCGGATAGCATGAAGCAGCAGCTCCTGCGCCTGCAAAGGAAGGAGTGGGATCGCGTGACTTATGAGCCCAAGTACGCCAAGGGCAGTTTTGCGGCCAACGAGCTGATACACGCTGGACGGGAGCTGTTCAAGGGCGAGGCGCCACCAGTCAAGATTTGGGGACCTTTGGAGAGGAGGATTGGCGTTGTGGGCATGTTTGGAGCCGAGGCAACGCTGAAGGTTCGCAGGGTGCTTGATGGAGATGCGGAGCCGTTTGGGCAGGAGACACTTGAGGAGGAAGGACCAATCGAGGTCAGTGGTGCAGAGAAGAAGCAGGCTGTTGTACAATAAAGGGCCATGGATATCTGTATTGTAGCTGTACATTTACGGACACCAAAGACACATGATAGCATACCGTGCGATTGTCATTTCCGTGGCATGACATCGATTTACATGTTGTGCAGCATATTTACGTTGCTCTGACGGGCGCGATGTGTCCTGCAGGATCATTCCGCCGGCTTCCCCCTATCAGGTAGCCCAATGCGACTGAGTCCCGAAATCTACTTGGATGCCCATACGACCTTGTACTTGAACTGAGTGGGGAAGCTCCTATCCGTGATGAGCAGCTCCTCTCCCTCTTCCACCAGGTCGACCATCTTCTTCTCTAGATTGGGTCGCGTCTGCTCTTCGAGGCCTGCGAGCTGCATGTAGAGTGACTTTTCGCCTGTACGGATGGAGGGCTTCTTGAGTTGACTGGGTAGGTCAGTATACTGTAGACAGAGTTGGGTATATGAGATCAGGATTGGGGTACATACGCTTCTGGTCGCTCTGCCAGTCCCTCGATGAACTCCTGCAGCGTGATACCCGGAAGAACTTGCAGAGGACGAGCGATGTTGCCAGCGCCACAAACGGGACAGTCGTCTTTCTTCTGGTGCTCAAATGTATATGTGTAGACCGAGTCATCGCCAGTATACATCATGTAGTTATCTGTACCGGGGAAACCCATGAAAGGAGCCGTGTTTGTCGCCACCTTAAATGCTTCGTTGCAGCAACTGGCTGCTACAATGGCGTTCGTACTCGCGATGGCCGGAATAATGTTCTTAACGACACCTTGCGTCATGCTGTAGGTAACACCTTCGATGTTGAACTCCTTGGCACGAGCGGAAGCCTTGTTGAACAGCCAGGTGATGTGCTCCGGGTCGTCGGTGTCGAGAGTTATATCTTTGCGCTCCTCGTCCCAGGCGATGATATGCGCCCATTCGATACAATGTTGCGGTTGACGTGGAATAGTAGCAAGTGTGCAAAGAGGGACTGCCGCGCGAGGAGCGTGCATATCCAGTTGGCACTCGATGCATGAGGTCATGGTTGGGAAGATGACACGCGCTTGGCCCTTGAAACCCTCTGTTCCTCCGTCGATTAATGGCTTCATCGAATCCGGATCATTCTCATCCACCATCCCCACCAAAGTTGCGTTGATCCATCGTCTCGCTTCTATGGAATCCAGACCGCATACGATGAGACCGAATTGCATGTAGTAGCTTTCGTCCTTGTCCTGGATTTTGCCACAGTAGGGAGTGATCTTGACGCCCTTAACACGCTTCTCGACGAAAGCAGCAGCTGTTTCGGCCTTGTATTTTCCCACATCCGAGGCGCGGAATAGGAATTGTCGGTTCAGGTTGCTGACGTCAATGGTATCCATATCGATAACGTGAATGTCTTTGAATCCGGATAGGGCAAGATTTTTGAGGATCTCGCATCCTAGACCACCAGCTCCGCTAAATAATAGTTAGTAAGGATGCGACATGAGGGACGGTCGTGCATTATCATCGAGTGTTGTTACAACGTACATAACACTGCAAATGGTTAGCTATGACACCCTGCGCTTCGGAAACGCGATGTTCCTACAGAACTTTGAGATTACTCAGATACTCGATAACTTGTTCGCCGGCCATGAAAGCTTCATCATCTGTGAATGGGCCCTTGCGAGTAAGGAAGTTGTCCAGGTACTTCCTATTGCATGCTATCAGTCAAGAGCTCTGACCTTTCTTATTATCCAGCTTACCATCTCGCTCGCGGGCTGCTTGTCGATGCCGCACTCATATTGTCGATGCTGACAGCCATCCTGTAGAAATGTGTGGAAAATGATTGTTGGCAGAGTCAAGGGCAGCAAACGGTGGTCGTAGGCATCAGAGCGTAGACGGTCTGCCAAGGCGCTAGCCTGTGGGCCCTCGCATGGGGAAGGAAACACCGATTGGGTAAGGTCCACTGAGCGTCTGCCTTTCGCATTGATCACGAATAGAGCAGGAACAACGACCCGAGTTTCCTTTGGATTGGTGTGGGTATACGCACCGGATAACCTGTTCTAGACGCCATGGCCGACTTTCTCACAGCCGTATCCACCAGGAAAGTCAAAAAGGAAGAATCTCTCATTCAGGAAGTCAAGAGCTTGAGCATACAAGAAGATGCAGTTGCCATCAACTCCACAGAATCGGCACTGGAGGCACTCAAGAACCAACCCAGCCGCAACACCGTGAATGCCGTTCTGAGCTATCTTACCACTGAAGGGTTCAGCCTCCTACTACCAGAACCACTAAACGCAAGCATCGCGCATCAACTCATCAACGACACCATTCCGAACTACTGGAGAACTATCAAGGACGCCAACGAAGTTATAAAGCTCGAGAAGATACTCCGAAACCCAACATGTCTTGGACATCTTAACACGAGGCTTCGATCGCTAGTTGCAGATACTCACCAAAAGAAGGCACCGGGCGAAGCGAGAAACACGGCTGAGCACATTGCGGATGCTCTCCAAGTCTTAAGTCTGGTGTTAAGCCGCGACGAAACATCCCATCTCGTGTTGCAAGACGTTTTAGCGTTTGGGAAAACCCCAACACAAAGAAAACTCATCTGGAGAGAGTACATCACGCAGGTTGCTTCCGGTCGATTACTATCAATGGCAGCAGAGGCTGAGGATGTACTCAAGAAGAGTGATGAGGCTCACCAAGACACAAGTTGGGTCGCGGATGGCAAGCAGTATGCAGCGTGGCTGGGACGCAACATCGCTGTCTCGCTCGAGCGCAACTCAAATAACGAGGAGTATCTTGCCGCCATTATTGAGTTATGTTCGAAGTCGCTAGGATTGGGTTACACCGGTACGTCGAAACTCTGTCGAGGTCTGTTGCTACATACTGACAATACAGATCATATCATGAGAGCCCTTGTTCCGACATTGATTGGTAGCGGGGCCATTGAGCGCCTGACCAATCTTTTGTCCCAGATGAAAACGTTCGAGCAACGGAAGTATCTCAATGCTGTAGTCGCTTTCGTGGCCAAGAAGTATTTCTCTACGGAAACTATTAGTAAAGACGATGCCCCCGTTGCAACCTCTGTCAACATATCATCTGCCGCCGCCCTGTTTCACAAGCTCATCAAGGACAATGACGTCCTAAAAGAGCAGCTCGTGACATCACTTACGCGGTCAACAGTTCCTGCACTTGATGACTCCCTATCAGCCAGGCGAAGTGTTCTAGCTGCTTTTGCCAAAGACGAGGGTCCGTGATCATCATACGCCCATTGACAGTCAAGACTGACGATACTTAGACAAGCTATATACTCTTCTGGAGGGTCTCATAAAGATGTTTGGCGATTCAGTATACATCAGGCACACGCCTGTGCTGCAACAAGAAGGTATTTCGTATTTGCGCTCTATCGCTATAAATCACTAATGTACTCCAGCTCTTTCTCAGACCTTGGCCATATGCAGTGGCTATGTAAAGCGTTCCCAGCCCATGTTCCTCACCATGATGGCAAAGTCAACCCATCACGTCAATGGCATGTCAAATCGCATAGGAGCGGCATCTGCAAGGGCTCGCTTCCTAGGTATCGCAGTTGGTGTTGCTATCTCGAAGATGGTGGACAAACCAGAACTTCAGCTTAAGTTCGAGTTGGAGGGTGCTGAGGCAGAAGAAGCGAGCTGGTATCAACGCCTTACTGAGGTTGACGATAAGATTGGAGAAGTCACGAATCTTGCGGCTAAACAGGATATCGTGGCAAAAACGAAGAGAATCCAGTCGAAGCCCAAGCCGCCTCCCAAGGTATCCAAAGCTTCTGGAATTACCGAGATACAAGGCCCAAGGGTTGTGGAAGTCTTGTCCGAGTCCGAGGATGAGGATACAGATCTGATGGTGTACGAAAAGCCAGACTCCGATCCAGAAGACGATACAGACGATGCGACGGCTATAAATCGTAACAAGCCCACCGCGCCCGTCTACATCCGAGACCTTATAACAGGGCTGCGTGATCAAGAAAACTACGATCGCCACGAACTCGCTTTAGCTACTGCAGCATCATTGATCCGACGGAAAGCGAACTTTGGAACTGAAGTCATCGATCATCTCGAAGAATTAGCCACTTTGCTTACGGGATTGCAAGACAACTCGGAGCTTGAAGGTTTCGCGCAGCAACGGCAGCAGGCCTTAATTGCCGTGCTCCTGGCGAAACCAGCGCAAATGGCTCAATGGTTTGCTCGATCGTTCTTCTCAGGCGACTACAGTCTACAGCAACGCATCGCCATGCTCACGACTCTCGGCCTGGGAGCGCGTGAGTTGGCGGGCATGAAGGACACATCGACCGACGATTTGGTGCCTGCAAAGCCGGACTTTCCTAGCAAGCAGCTTCCGCCACACCTCCACGAAATGTATGCCGAGGAGAACAAGGCGCCTACAGTAGCCAAGATCTCAAGCAGCATGGTGCGTGAGATGCTATCGCCTATGGCTAGTCAAGCAGCCGATCAGCTCAGCGGCCCGAACATACTCAAAGTCCGAACCTTCTCCTCGCGCATGGAAGTCGAGAAGAAGCGGCATAAGCCAATACCTAACGCGCTTGCGCAAATCGTGGCAGATAACTTCTTCTTCCCACTCACGGGCCGTTGGTGGCTGCAGATTCGCGCGAACAACGACTCGATATACGCGTCTACTCACCTTCTCCCACCCTTTCTGCAGACTCTGTCATTGTTGCTCAACGCGTCGGGCCCGAACACGCTCGCGTTGCCGCAGATGACGCGCGAGTATTGGGATCTGCTACTGTCGGTGCGCGGACTGGCGAGTAAGGACAAGAATATCCTGAACGCGGTTTTATTCGGGTTCCTGATGTTATTGGAGACGAACGAGAACAAGGAGCGAGTGGCTACGGAGCAAGGCAAGGAGCTTATGGAGACGCAGGCCTGGGTGAGGATGGTCTTCGAGGGTCTAGGGGCGGGGAGCGAGGAGGACGAGAGGGTGCGCGTGTTGGCTGCTGGCGTGGTGGTTCGTTGCCAGGAGGTGATTGAGAAGTATCAGAGGAGGTTGGCGGGTGAACTGATGAATTATTAGCGCGTATGTAAAGTTGGTCGAATACTAGCTGTGAACTGCGACCCTGAGCGACCGACCGACGAGGTGATACCTGTAAATTTCGAATATTTGGCCAGACTGCTACCTGGGCTTAAGATCGTGACCGAACGTTACTGATACGTAGGGTAGAAAGATACATCATCTTATGATCTCTCAACTTGACGCGATACAATACTATGTATGCAGCAAAGCGATCCGAATGTCTTCTTCCTCAAGACACTGCATAGAGCAATGTCGTCAATGAAAAAGCAACACAGATGTGTGACCAGCAAAAATTGCCCCGCCGAGATTCCCGAAGGAAGCTCGTGAGAGCCCAGTACCGCGTTGTGCAATGCAGACCAGGCGCTCAGATTAACCCAATCTTTGAGCTGGGTAATCGCAAGAAGGTAAGTATGCAGGATTATCATGAGGGATCGAACAGAATAAATAGACAGTGAGACTTGGCACACTAAAGGTCACGTGAAGAGGCACAGACGCTTTATAGACGCTATATGCTCGCTTAACGGCTAGACTCCGGGCGCTGGGTGGGCTGCCGTCCGAGCTGTGAAGTTCTCTCACCTTGATCTTCTTCACTGCTTGTCATTGCATGCCATGACAGGCATGTTCCAGAGAAAAGTAAGTTCAGCGCTCTCAATCTATACACACCCTTTCCTATGATGATCCAAAACAACCTTAGAACCGTTGCGAATGACGCCTTCGGGCGGTTGACTTCACCATACCCTTTACTGAACCACTCTCTATTGCAACTTGTTACAAAGCCTTGTCAGCGAATTGTAGCTAACAAGACAAAGGAACCATGAGCCGCCCAGTCCTCAACTTTCTCCGTCCATACCTTCACCAGGCTAGTCGCTCCGTTAAACCGGAACATGCTCGCGCGTACCTCGCTGTCCAGCGGCGCTTTGCTCAGAGCCTAGCCGCCGATGCATACACCGGCCCGCATGACGTCGAGAAGCAGAAGCGTCTGGAGCACTTGGGCAAGGTAAAGCCGTTGGGCGATTACCACCCCAGGTTGGTTCACTCTGCGGATGCTCAAAACTTGTCGATACGCGACTTCAACGCCAAGTACGATAGCATCCAGGAGACGAAGGAGGACCTCGTGTCTGTGTTTGGTAGGGTGCACCACCCATGAGCACCAGTCTGGTTCTGACAATGTCAGGAAGGGTGCGCTCAGTGCGGCTGCTCGGCTCCAAGTTGATGTTCCTCGATATCGAACGCGACACCCAGCGATTGCAGGTCATGGTGGAGCTCATGAAGCTCACGCCGCAAGATGGCTTAGATGAGAGCTTCAAGAGTTTCAAGAAAGTCGCCAGAATTGGCGATTGGGTGTGTAAGTAGATGAATCATTTAGCTTCAGATCAGACTCTGATTCCGTATAGCTATCAAAGGCAACCCTACGAAAACATCTACTGGACAACTCTCTGTCCTTGCTCGTGATGTACCTCAAATCCTCGCGCCATGCCTTCACCACCTCCCAGAGAGGATCGACGATGCCGAGACACTTGCCCGACGACCGCACATTCACGCGCTCACGAGCGACGAGCCTGGCGATGTTCTTCGATTGCGAGCGCTGATCTACGACTACGTGCGCACATACTTTATACAAAGTGGGTTTCTGGAAGTGGAGACTCCCATGTTCGACGTCAACGCTGGAGGTGCCATTGCGCGATCCTTCGAGACTGTCGCAAATGAAGTGTCCAACACCCCTGTACGGCTTAGGATAGCACCTGAGCTCAACCTTAAGCGGTTGATTGTTGGGGGGCAAGACAAGATCTTCGAGATCGGACGCGCCTTCAGAAACGAGGGTGTCGACAACACGCATAACCCAGAGTTCTCGACTTGCGAGTTCTACGAAGTCGGCGCGACCCTACCCACTGTCGTCGCCAGGACGGAGCAACTGGTACACGGACTCCATACCGCGGTTGAGTCGCTAAGGCCGACGTACTTCCCTACCCTAGCGGCGCCGGAAGATATCGACTTCGCACAGCCCTTCGCTCAGCTTCCCTTCATACCCACCATCGAGCAAGCCTGCAGTCGCAAGCTGCCTGATCTGTTATCACCGAACGCTTCCAAGGAGCTGCTTCAGCTGTTTGACGACCTTGAACTCACCGTTCCGCCCAACCCCACACTTCCACGTCTTCTCGACACCCTTGCTGAGACATATATCGAGCCACTCTGCAAGAATCCCACTTTCATCACTCAGCACCCTGAAGCGCTTTCTCCACTCTCAAAGTCGTATCTTGACGAGGCTACTGGACAACGCGTTGCATCTCGCGTGGAACTGTTTATCCATGGCCGCGAATACGTCAACGCATACGAAGAGGAAAATTCTCCGTTTGAACAGCGTCGCAAGTTCATGCAGCAGCGTGATTTCCACCCCGAGGGTGAAGGCGCGATTGACGAAAGTTATCTCGAGGCGCTGGAGTGGGGTATGCCTCCCACTGGTGGCTGGGGTTGTGGGTTGGATAGATTGGTCATGCTGTTCGCTAGTAAGAAGAGGATCGCTGACGTGCTGCCTTTTGGTACATTGCGAAACGTTGTTAGCATTTCCAAGACGAAGTGAAGTGCTTCGCTCTTCAATAGAGGAACTATTCGTGCAGCTCTCCCACCACTGAGATGATAGGAATCGTGACGCTTGCCGCCTGCCGCTTACACTCTGCTATGCTCTTCTTGGTAGACTGTGTGCAATTTGATGTGTGTCTACACTTGTATATTATAATGTATTTGATATAACGTTGCTCTTTTGCAGGTGTCTGATGCGAGACCAATTGTTCAGCTTCGCAATTTGGCAGCCTGGTACGCTTAGACCCGAACATAGGGAACACGCAACCCACGCGTACCCACAATTGCACATCGTCCCACGCCATTGAACAATCCGATGTATGCAGGAAACTCCCAAGGGTTGTGTCGTGGTGCTCCATCGTTACAGTGGTTGAGGGACGCCCTCAACTATAGCCAGCCGCCGTCAGCATGGCTTGAGGCGTTGTTTCAGGCGCCCAGCAGCCCGCGGCTGCAGTTAACAGGCACCCGCTCCTTCAGACGCTCGCCCTTTACGCTTGCCTCACAAACTTCGCGTAGTCTGCTTCTTACTAAGACATGTTCTGCTTCTGTTGATCATTCTCGTTGATATCTTCCCCGAAGGTTCCCGTTTCCTGGGGTAATGCGCGTTGCGCATAGCGCGTACTGTACAACAACGCCCCGTGTTGATTAACATGTTTTGGGATGGGGCGAAATCTTGCAGATCTTCCTATACTTGAAGACGTCAGCCCTACTCCCTACTGCGCTGCTCATCCCAAGACGTCAGCTTAGCAGGAAATACCATGTCGTTGCCGATTCCTAATTCCCAATGGCAGGGCTGGGACACACATCGGCAACAGCAGTCGCCGCCGCAACAGCCAGTGTACCCATACAACCGATACTCGCAGGCCTCTTCGCCCAACCACTCATACTATGGACACTATGCACCTGCGCCAGCATCATATATTCAACCACACTACAGCGAAGATGCGCCAGCGCCTTTCATCGCAGAGCTGCCAGCACCTTTGCCTCCAGCTCCACCAACTACGACGTCTGAGGAGCAATTGAAGCAAGATGAGCTGCTCGCGCATAGGATGCAGCATTTGGAGGTGGAAGGGGTTCGAAAGAGATCGCTCAGTGCAGTAAGCCAACAGGAACGCCCTGCCAGTATGATGCCACCCAGCTCACAGCGTCTGTCACCACTCCTACATCAACAGCGATCCGCGCAGGCTTTGCGATTACATTCAAAAAGCGTTTCATCCTTTGTCGACCAGAAACCAGGAAACATGGCACCAGTGACCACCCAGCTTGCGCCTCTACCTCTAGCGCATCAACACTCTGCACAAACGCTTCGACCTCATTCGAGAAGTGTCGGAGCGGCCGCCGAACCATGGAGTCCTGGATCGTTCGAACAAGCGCGAGATCCAAATCTGTTCAGCACCTTACCGGAAGTGGTTGTAGAGCAGCATCTGGATAAAGATCTCGAGTCACCGCTTGAGAATTTACCAATTCCAGTCTTGCTGGATCAACAGCCCATTGAACGCCTGCAACAGCCTATTAGACACCCATCAGTCGCACTAGAATCAATGTCGTTGCCAGGGTATCTCGAGCAGTACCGCCAAGCACCGTATCCGCCTCAGTGGAACCTTCCACCCGTTGTCTCTACACTGCATGCTTACCAGGAAAGCAAACGGTCATCCGGGTCCAGCTGGCTGGACACGCCAGAGTCGTGTGCATGGCGAACAATACGCCCCTCTGAACATGCACATAATCCTGTTCCACCGGCGTTTACATTCAAATTCAAAAGCACGACTGGTAGCTTCCGTAGTCCCAAATTCTCGTGGACAATGACATGCCCCGAGGAGCCGACAGAGTCAGGAAAGAAGGTACCGAAATCACAGCAGACCGCATGGTCTTACGAATTAAAGCTGGACCCCAGGACCAATTTACGAAAGTCTGAAGTCTTACTCCAAGGTGGCCCAAACGCAAGATCCATTTTGACAACTTACGTGCACGCGCTCAATTACGACTCACTGCGCTTCATCGGTCCAGACGGACGTGCATACATGTGGGTCACAAGCACTAAGGTTTCCTCCATCCACGGTTCCCGCTACGACACGCTGAGACATGCGCTCTTCGCCGCGATAGGGAACAATCCTGATCCGCTGTATGGTGGTATCGTGGCAGATCACTGCTTCTGGGACGGATATGTCGACGCAAGCGGAGGTCATACCCCTGATGAATCTGTCTACATACGTCAGACGACTGTGGAGCCGGCACTTGTCGTAGCGACGTTGCAGGTGATGAAAGAATGGGAAAAACATACACTCAGACAAGAGAAAAGGAAGAATTACAAAGCCTTTTCTGCAGCTGAAGAAGAAGCCCGGAGATGTGAACTTGGAGCCTCTAGCTATTGGCAAACATGAAAGGTCTTACAACACCAGGCGCGCAAGGCCAAGCTTAAATCC